CAGTCCCGCGCCCGCGCGCTCCCCGCCCGCGCGGCGGCACTGCCACCACCCTCCGGAGTGGCACCTTCTGTGCTGGTACATCTAAATGCAAGTAAGGTCAGACCACTGGGGCAGGAAATAAATGCAATTTTATTTTAATGTAGTTCATCATGCTGCTATAGTAGCTGGGTACCATGAGGGCTTTTCTTTAAACGAGGGCCATTCGTGGTTAAATTCTTTTAAATAAATAAGCGAAATCATGGGGTTGGCAGGGGCTGTGTCTGGCTATGCTCTCTTCCATAGCAAACCTCTCTGCTTCGTTTGAGGAGCCAGTGTTTGGTAGTAATTGTTAATCATACTATTTGTCATTCCACGATATAAAGGGGCAGACAACAACCCTGAGCTGGTGCAAAGTAATGGAGGTTCCTGGTTAAAAGCATCATCTCTCAAAAGCTGTTATTTAACAGTGACCCCTCCTCAGCTGTTGTACCCCACTTCCTAATGGTTAGCAGTATTACCCCAAGTCACCACCTGAATGGAGGAATACGCTTAGTGTTCCCTCACCACCTTCATCCTTACCTTGTTTTGGTTTTCCCTTGCCCTGAAAACATCCCTGAGGATAACACCCACCTCTGGACAGCACCACGAAGGGGCTGGGGCTGTGCGTCTCCCAGGATTTTGAGAAGAGCTCTGCCAACTGTGATTCGCACTCAGAGCTACGGATTTTTGCTCAAAATGATTTCTTTGTGTCCAGAGCAGGAAAAATACCCAACCAAACAATTATTCAAAAATAAAGCAATTTTGATGATGATGATGATCTTTAAATAGGAAGTCGTGTGAGTAAAGGTCATACCACAGAGTGGCATTTTGCCAGTATAGGACAACTCGCTGATTGCAATTGTTCAACCATATTAGCCTGGGCACACTGTGGTAATCGAAAAGTATCCAGAACTAATGTATAATAACTGCCTGCTACCCCCGAGCCGGACCAGCACAGCTGTCCTGCACAGCTGAAACCTCCTCAGGTCCGAGGGAGATGCTGAGAGCTCTGGTACAGTATTTTTACAGGCTAAAGAGTGTTTTATAGATTGCCTCTCTGAACCCTGGCTAAGTCAGGGAAGGAGGAAAATCCTTTTGTTTGTGTTCAAAGACAGCTTGAGTGTGTTCAAACTGTCAGACCCTCGGTGAGGAATGTGATGTCCTTCACACATTTCCTTTATAGAAATATTAATATAAAACTCAAATATTTACACACAGTATTTGAGTAAGGGAAGAGATGTTGAACCATTACACAGAACAGATTGTAGATTCTTCTGCAGACAATTATGTTACTGGTGGAATGAATAATAAATAATATCATTTCCATCACATCTGGGAAAAACACACTGTATGTGCCACAGGGTGACTGGCAAAAACTTGGATTTTATTTTGAGAGATACTGGTTGTGGTGTGGGGTTTTTTTTAATTAACACACTCCATCAAAATAAAAGAAGGCAAGAATTTGGGCATGAGTGAAAAATTTTGTTCGAAATCTAAAGAAATGTTAATAGTACTCATTTGCAAGTAGTCATGAGGCTTTGAAATTGCAGCTGCAGCATATTATGGAGAAGCCGTGGAATACTATATTTCTTTTTAAAGTACTTAAAATGAACATTGGCAAACCAAGTTGCTAAATGCTCAAATGAGTACGGTGCTGTTCTAATAACAGGGTAAATGTGCTAAAGAGAAGTGAAAGCCCTCCACTGCAGTAGCTGTGCACCAGAATGACAAAAAGTGCTACAATTTCCGCGTCTGTCTGTGACTCAGGGGCCGTCAGAAATATTGTACATTTTGTAAAAGCATTAAGAATCCCTGAGAGAGCCTTAGTGACCACCAGCATGTTCTGATTGTGTTTTAAAGATCCATGTTTTCCTCTTTACCGTCTCTCATGTGTCCCTCAGGTCAATTGTGTCACTGCTGTGACTCAAAAACCTGCTCTGATTTTTTTTTTTTTTTTTTTTTCCAAAAGGGTGTACTTAGGACTTGATGTGAAAGTCTGGCAATTAAAAAAAATTTAAAAGCAAAAAAAAAAAAAAAAAGCAAGCAAGTAATTGTAAAAATAGCAACATTAAAGCAATCTGTTATGGTTCTTGTTTACAACTCATCTGACATGAGGCTGCTAAGGATTATTACATGTAACAATTATATTTTGATTAGGAAAGAGATACATACAAAAAAGATAAAATATTTCTGTTCCTACATGAAAGGAAGGTACCTTGTGATTTAATTTCCAGAGTGTTATGTAAATTTAAAATGTCAGAAAATGTAGAATTTAAATCCGCCCCTGTTTGTTTTGCAGCATTAATGCTTCCTACAGTCACGAGCACGCTGCTCTCCCAAACTTCTGCCCCTCGGAGAAAAAGGGCAGAGAGAAAACTGTTACTGGCTTTCTGACAATGGCAGGGAGTGTGTTAAACCAGTGTAAAATTCAATTAAACTGTCTAGCCGGGTTTTTGAAGCTGAAATGCAGACCCTTTCAGTTAAGCTTCTTATTTTCCTGTGACCGACACCAGTGGATACTGTGTTATGCCAAAACCAACAGGCTGTAAAGCACCTTGTTTCATGCTCCTAGCTGATCAATATTTTTATTTTCCAGGCTTGCCCAGAAATATGGAGGCAGTATCACCTAACAGTAAGTAGAAACACCTTTTTTATTTTCTTCTACACCCAACCTATTTACTCCTCTGTGAACTGCTGACCATAAAATATAGATAAGCATCTTCTCTGAGAAGATAATAAACATCTGAAGAGTTTTTGAACTGAAGAATGCAATGAAACACTGCCACTATTTTTTAAGCATCTTTAAAACTTCTGATTTCATTTTAATTCTGTATAATTAAATTAGTGCTTTACTTCTCTCAGTGACCACATTTACACATAGTTAGAGCGTTAAATTTTAAGTTGGGATGCATAGTAGAAGCAGTAATCCCATCTCAGATATCCCAGATGTAGGTAATTAGTCACTCTGTGTGACAAAGCTTTTTTCTTAGATGACTGAAATAAATCTCAGTTAGAGCAGAGACATGAATTTGAGGAAAAACAACTCAAAAACTTTTGCAGATAATTTATAACTAGTCAGGATATAGTTGCGACTGCTTATTCGGCCTGTCTTAGTTGATTGTTAATCCCTGAAACAAGAAAATAAAACTTGTTAAACTGTGCTGATTTATTACTTAAGATTTTTCCTCATATGAGAAATAGATATAAAAATAAAACAAAGTGCAGAAAAATTTGGTCAGTACTGAAACCTGGTACCAGTAAAAACAATTTCATGTATTGGTGTCACATACACTTAAATGTATTAATTTCTAAAATCGTCAAATGTAAAAACACCTTTAAAAATCAGGGGTTTGTTGTTCTTCTGAACTTTTGCTGTCATTGTTCCCCAGATCGGCCTCACATGTATTTCGCTGTTACAGATAATTAACCCCGTTCTCTGCTATAAACAAAGTAGAAAAGTTTCTCCACTACTTTTCTTTTTAGATCTTCTGCTTTTTCTCTGAAGCAGTAGATGGGATGTGCTTTTTAATTTGTACTGCCACCTCTTCATGGCAGTCGAATGCTCTTTTTCCTGCTTTTTTCTTCAAAATTCAATGAATAGAAGAAATCTGCACTTAAAATCTCTCATTTGTGTTTTGTGCATAATGATTCTAACACAAAGATCTGCCCTGGCAATCCTCCACCCTTCCTGAGAATTTACTTTTAAACAGATTTGGTAAAGACTCTTTGTTGGTTTGGTTGGTTTTGTGTTTTTTAAAGAAAAACATTATGAGCAAAAAAAAAATAGTGCATTTCCTGAGTATTTCTGTTTGTTTTATTTTGTTTTGTTTTGTTTTGTTTTGTTTTTAAATCGGATGAAGGAAAAAAGTAGATACTGTCTTTCCTTACAATCCCTAAGGGTGCATGTAAAAACAATTTTTGAAATGTTTGTAACACTTGTTACTTAATAATCAGATAGAAATAGTTGGTGCAGTAAGATCCTGGGTTCTATTTTTCACTGAGATAGAAGATGTAATTTAATTTTAGTTTCACCTGCTACTGAAAATTCCTCAAAAAGCGAGTTACCATCAACACTTATAATATATTTATGTCTGTAAAAAAAAAAGCAGGGCGTAGCTTAAACTTGACCAAGTGCTGTACTAGGGCAAAATTTGAGGTATCTGGCAGTAGGAAATTGTTTCTGTGGATTTTGTAGAAGGCATTCAGGATTTACATTTAATGTAAAGTAGAGCTAAGGAAAGGTGACAGAGCAAGTTCTTGTTAGAAAATGTAGTGGCTACAAATATGGACATATTATTAAAAGTACCCATTTGTACTTTTATACAAATTTATAGTGCATTTTAGGGACATTTTGAAGCCTGGTCAAATATGAACACTCACAGATTAATTGATATTGCATCAGGCCCTACCTGCTGATAAACAGACTTTTACTTTGCAGTGAATTACAGATTATCTGCAAATAACATACACATTTTTGACACGTGAGAAGTGTTTTACACACCTTCATTTTTTGTGTGGGAAGAGTACCTTTGGCTCAAAGTTACATTAGCAGTTGGGTTAAACCTGGAATTTAAAAATTTATATGGTAAAAGACATGGTTGATATTTGCAATAAGTAAATTGAAAGAAACTGCATTATCTGAATTGTTTAAAATTTATCTTTCATTATTCTCTTTCAATATTCTATTTTGTAGCCAAAACAGAGAAGAAGTAAATAATGTTCTTTCAAGGAACAAAACTTCTAAGTTATAATTATATGTAGTGTTTAAATATATATATATTTTTTTTTATATATATATATAGCTGTAGGATTGCAACAAAAAGCCATGTTTTTTTTCTCTCATCAGCACAGTAGTATTTCACCATAGAAATTATCTTACAATTTTCCTGTTTTAGAATAAATATTTCAGCACAAACGGGATAGCAGCGTTAAGAAAAAAACCACCTGTTTAAAACAAAAGTGCTGTTGTGACTGTCCTGGCCCACAGAGGCTGCCCAGCTGCTGGGGGCCACAGAAGAGCTTTTCCTGCGCTTCAGCCAGGGATACAACCAGAAGACTTAAACTGGTTTTGGTAACTTGGTGGTGAGCATCCCACATGCAGGTCCATGTACATGCAGATAAACTCAGTGGTTCCGTTTTGTGATAATACATCAGATTTTGGCACTGTTCAGAGAGGGCTGTCACAAAGTTTGTCCTAATGTTTTGCCTTCTATAAAGTATTCTTAGTTAATTTCTGTTAATGCTGGTGAAGAATCACACGGCCTTGCGCCTCTCTCCTTTATGAGGCTTTTGGTTATTTCATTAATTTTCCATCACTTTCCTAGGAGATGGACTGCCATCTATTGACTCCTCAGAGCCCCTGCACTGTGTGCGGGGCCACTCCAACAATGACTCAATAACAAACCCATTCTGCTCTGGGGGATGGTGCTGGGGATTGTTGACGTTGGCCATGGAGACAAATTTGAGCACATTGCGAATAATTTGTTGTATGGGTAGAAACATCTTATTCCAACCAAAACAGACTGCCAGTGCAAGGGATCTTATGAAGAAATGGCAAAAAGGATTGTAAGTGGAATATTTTAATTTGCCTTTTGATGGAAAAAAAGATTATCATAAGGCATTCAATGAAGTCTAAATCTAGGGGCTCTGTGATAATCAAAGCTTTATAAGTGGCTGAAAGTACTTTCTTTAAGCTTGTTCTTTCAACTCTTTTAACTAAAATTATTCTGAAAAAAAAAAAAACAATGAAAGCAGAAAAATCCAACTCCCACTGTGGTTTAAAATACTTTTTAATAACCTCTTTAAGACAGTGATTTAAAACTTTTACAGATAATTTTACAGTTACATGCTCTCTGTATTTCTCCTGTAACAGAGAAGGGCAATTATATTTGTCAAAATATATTTCAAGTTTTATTCATGCAGATACCTATTTGCAGTAAATTGGTTCCACGCCTACTAACGTTTATCAAAGTGGTTATTGTCAATCAAATAACAGGACAAATATTTCTTTGACAGACTCAGGATAAGCAGTTTTGGTCATAGCTTGCTGGAGTGTCAGTGATGACGTGTGATTTTTTTGGGGCAAGGCACTGGGAGGCCTTGTTGAACTCTTTGTTCTGAGTTATGAGGAAGCTTAGCTTACAACCCTGACTTCCTAAATGCTCCACAAGCCCAGAGAAACACGGCCCGTGTTCCACAAGACATGCCATCACATCCCCTCTCCACCCTAAGGGTGTAGGGGTGCACAGAGCAGTGCTTTTTCATCCTCAGAGCACTTGGCTTCTCATCTCTTTTTCTTGTCACTTCAGATTTCCGATATAAATGTAGTGATATTTATTATGCATTTTAATTGGAAGCCAGGTTATAGCCTTCTAACAGACAAAAAAGATAAACCCTAAATAACACTAAAAAAATCAGTGGAAAAAGTTGTGAGAAGACACCCAATTATTTTCTTTTGTTTGTTTCAAATTTGTAGTTTATTCTTTTAAAAAATACAGTATTTCCCCTCAAGTTTGACCTGCTGCCCGTCCACCTGGCTATGTGGCCTGAGGAGGGGCAGGGCTGGGGGTCATCTGCAGTGCCACAGTGACACATTCCACAGTGGCCAGCCCTTGTCCCCTCTGCTGCTGGTGTGGTCAGCCCGGGGCTCTGAGCCCAAGGCTCTCGCTGGCCATCTGGGGAGCGCCAAGGCCTGCTCTGCCCACACTGACCAGCGGCTGCGGCCTCGCTCCCGGCCTGTGCTCTGCGGGGCCTTTGTGGCCTCTGCAGCCTGCTGAAACTGCTGCTCGTGGTAGCGTTTCCACACAGCACATGACATCGCTGGAGAATAAAGAGGAAATTTCTTTATCATCAGTGCATAGACACCCTGTTTTGCTCTGGGTGTGCGCTTGCACCAATGCCGGGAGGCTCCGAAGTCTGTCCCGGAGTCCCCACAGTGCATGGCAGTGCTGGTGCGGCAGCCAAGGAGGGGCACGGGGCTGCGGCGTGTTTTGGTGTCAGATGGAGAAGGTCTGGCTGCAGATCTCACACATCTGCCTTGGCAGACTGGCTGGTGCCACACAGGAACGGATGTGGCCAGTTCGGCCCGGCATCAGGATGAGGCTACCACAGTCAGACAGGAATGAACAGTTCAACTGTTAGAATCTTCTTCCCTAAATATAACTGAGTAAAGAAATTCTGTCCCTAAAATGGGCCGAGCAAGTTTTTTATTTTCCTGAGGTGTTTCTTGCTATTGATGTGTGTGTTAAAACATAAATCCCACTGGGACAGAGTGTTTTCTTTCTGTAGGGATGTCTTATTTTTAATAACCCCTTCCTGCCCTGGTGCCACTCCAGCTAGCCACGCTGACTCGTCTCCGTGCCCTGCCTTCACCAGCCTCGTCTGTGTGAACTCTCCCAGAGCAAGATGGCCACCAACAGAGCTTTACAACCATCACAATTTCTAATTAGCAGAACCTATAATTTAACACACTTTTTGACAGTTTGTTAATCTTAATTTTAGTCCACTTACATAAAGGACTACAAGGAACGAGGAACTGGCAGATTTGGCCCTGTGTATGGAGGACACTAAGGGACATGTGTCTTTTGTGTTTAAATGTTGCGCCCAGATTTCTTTGTGTGCAATATTAAAATT